TATCTGAAATATCCAAAACTTACCCTAAATCGTTAATAAAAAGGTTGAAGGTTACGTGAAGTAAGAGCCATTCACGAAGTTTTGGGAGGATTTGATAATTTCGTAAAAAGGGGTATTCTTCAGTATTTCTGAAAACTCGATTCTCATTTCATTATCAATTACAGTTTTTATAAATATTGCACAGAGGGACGAAACACTCGATTTACAGAAAATGTTTTTTTCCTTGATATTTAATTATAATAATTTTAATTGGGTTCATACTCAATATCATTCGTCGTACTGAATCGAATGTTAAAGTATGTTCGGTGGTAAGAGTAACGTGAATCGTTTTTGCTTATTTTTTTTTTCTAGTTTCATTATAAATCTAAACTAATTCTAAAGTAACCAAGTATTTTAAAAAATCTCTACAATCGTAGTATTTAAAGAAAAATAGTTAAAATAAAAAAAAAATCTGTTCCGATGATGCGAAAGAGTTGTTGTAACGTTCCAGGCACATACAAATCTTAAATACGCAATTTCAATTTCGTACTACTTTTTGTTTTTTTGGAAATTGGTCATTTGGACTGAGGGGCCTTCAAAACGTGGATTTCCGTTGAACACTCAGATTCGAAAATTTTCATGAACGCAATTCTTACAATTTTACACTGATTTAATGAATTTAATCAAAATCATCAGAGATTATTTTGGGTAAATCGTAAAAATTTGTTAAATCGATGATATAAAGTGCTACTTCCGATTAGCCGAATTTGACGAAAAAGTTGCTGTAATATTCCAGGCATATACAAACTTTAAATAAGCAATTTACCTTTCGAAAGACTTTTCGTTTTTGAGTTAGACTGCTAAAACACACATACCATTTTGTGAGATTTGGTTATTTGGGTTCAGGGAATCTATTTAGGTTGGTTATTTGTTACAAGAAAGGATCACACCGAGCTGTACTTCTTTCTGATCATTGTTTACTTCTTTGATTCAGGTGTGGAGATCTCTCATCCAGCTCTCTTTTAGTCTCCTCCTAATGGGAATGTCAGTCGTGACCATGCCGTTTATAAGTCTGTTGTTGTGTCCCTGTAATTTGTGACGAAAACGAGAATAGAGAGTACCTATGTGTTGGTCGATATTTGGTTGTGGTGAGTCGTTATGTAAAGTGTTGATGTCAATGTACCAGAGAGCTCCTGTCATAAGTTGTAAAATTTTGGAATGAAAAATTCAGTATTTTGTGCTCAAATTGTTTCAAAACACTTCAAACATAAAAATAAAAATAAAAATTGATCCGATTCCAAGTTTCATAATGTGTGGTATATCAGTTATCGTTGATTACATTATATAATACATATTCGTTGATTTTCCAATCACGATAATCATGTTACATTATTCTAATATACAATTCATACATCTTATAATGATTTATCAACGATTTCAATAGTCGTTTTGTTACTTGATGAATTTAGAATTGTACTAGAAATTACTTTTTTCATGAATCACACCGAGAAACAGGAATGAATAATACACGTTTTTAACGTCCTTTTGAGTGGATTGCTGCTTAAATATCTCATGAATATTTTGTTCTGATTGATCGCGAAAATATTGATACAAGCAACATTTTGAAAAAAAATACAAAACATTTTCTCTGAACTTCGTAACCACTATTATTATACAAATAGAATTTTTTCTCTTTTTACTTCTTGCTTCAAGCAAAAAAATGCTTTAAGGTATTTATTTATTTCTGAAAAAGTGAACTCTGGTCCCAGAACAATGCCTTTCATGAAGGGCACCCTTCTTTCATCAAGGGCACGTTGCCTTCTTCTCCCAGATATCATGCATGCAGTTCTTGCAGTTGGGTGAGGATCCGTTTTTCCTAGCCTGGCGCTCGTTTTCCTTATTCTCGCACATGCTACACTACCTGCATGCAAGTTCATTCTTATATTTAACTTAGATATGGCCTTATTCCTGGGATTTCTGGCAGGAAAGCATGTTTAGTCCCTAATTTCAAGTGTGTATGATACTCCTTAAAAAAAAAAAATACAGATGAATACGTTTCTACGGCGAGTAGGGGATTCCAGAAATCGCATTTATTTGTATTTATATGTATTTAATATTTATATTTTTATTTATATCGGTCCCAGAAGGGAACCGATCAACAGAAAAATATATTAATTATGTATTTAAAGGTTAGCACAGAACCCCTTATCCTAGATTGAACCATATAATTTTTATTGAATTTCTTTTCTAAAAGTATCATGTTTATAAATTTACTATTTGTTCTATAACTAATTGATGGCATGCATGGGAGATTGTGAAATTACTAAGATGATTTAATAACTACTATAAACTTAAACAACTAAAAACATGTATATTCAAAATAATAACCAAAACATATATACAATGAGTAGTAGAGACTTATATTAGAGGAGAATGTTATTTTTCGATATGCCTGATTAAAGTTACTTATGCCCTATTTATTCTATTAATGATTATTGGTTGCCAATACGAGTTTACATCTGTATAACTAAATGCATGTTATCACTTAGCTGGTTCTTCATGGTGAGGGGGGTTGCCGGTGTCTCTAGCTGTCATGTCATACCCATCTCCCTGGACGCTCCGTCGATCTGGTCCTCAAATCTTCATCTTGCTCCCTCCGGCTGTCATTATCAAAGCATCCAACCGTCCTAGCTTGACTTACCGCTTGAAGTGTTAAGTCCCAGTACTCTATTTCCAACCTTTCTAGCCCCTCTCTTTTTGTACTTTTTCCTGATTGGCTGAATTTTCCTAGCATAGGGGATGACCACGCCCTCTCCCCCAGGTCAAGATATTCCAGCAGGTATATTTTAAGTATATATTAGGTCTTTCTGGTGGAAGGTGTGGAAGGTCTTTCTGGAAGGTGTTAATGTTTCCTTGGATCCTGTTTAAACACTCAGGCGTGAGACTGTTGTTGGTCCTTAATTGTTTCTTTGCCCCTGTAAGAGCGGTGTAGAACTTTTGGGATTTTTTAACCATTCCTTTCTTTAACACACTTCTTGTGGTCGACCTACTCCTCTGCTGTCAAGTCAAGGATTTTCAAGGATATCAAGGATTTTCAGCTTCTGTCTCATTTTTCTTTTCAGGCTTCCATTCCCATCATCTTTGCCTCTCCGTTCTATTAGAGACAACAACACAGCGGTACTCCAACAATCGATTTGCCTAAAGTTTTTATTTAGTAGTTAAAATGTTTTACTACTGGGTGTTTCAAATATCTTATTATGGCTGAAATTGGTGAACGAAATTAGTAATATCCAAACGTTAAATGTAAAGGGGTTTGTTTACCATCTCATACGTATCTTATCTTCCCGGCAGCTCTCTTCTGCCGGGCTAGCCAGTAGAGTTGCCTGTTTGTTGGGGTCATCTCATCGCCGAGATAAATTCGGTGTATATATATATATATATATATATATATATATATATATATATATATATATATATATATATATATATATATACATATTATATATATTTTAGTTAAAGCTAATTTATTGAGAAATATTAATTTATCTCGATTAAGGTCATTTATAGTAGTGTTCGTAGAGCACCCCTCTCTCCCCTCTCCCCTCACTCAGCCGCATTACTGGTTAAGGACCAATTAAGGCTGAGCAGAGACACAATAATCCCAGTAGTACATGGCTAGAGTGGAGAATCAAGGAACCAGATCTTCGGTCTTTACTATAATACTGTTCAACTACTGTTCGATGGGCTTTGGATTGAAAAGATGGGATGAAAATTAGCTTTTCTCAAGTTCTAATCCGTAGGTCCACATATAGGTTTCAGATTTGTCTTGTGTATCAGTAAGTGGTTTTCAATAGAAATTTTAGATTTTCAGTTCAATAGTTTGTATAGTTTGAATTCAGCAGTTTGAGTTCTCTTCTTGTAAGTCTATTCTGTGGGTTCCATGTTAGTCTTCTGTCTAAAATTAATCTAAGATACCGGACTGTGTCTGAGGAAGGAAGCTGGATGGAATTATAGTGTACTAGTAGACAGAAATTTGCCGGATCGGTAATATGTATGAATAGTCCTCAACTTCGGAGAGACAAGAATTTAAATTATTATTATTTAATGAAAAAGCAACTGAAGAGCTGTATTATAAGGAAGTTGAATCTCAGAAGTTCTGAGGTGAAAGGCTCATATAAACGAATGTTTGAATCAAAGAAACAACCAATTTTATCCTTTGTAGCATTAATTCTTCTTTCTGTTTAACCGACCAAACAAATTAGCTTTCATTACTTTGATAACGTTTAATTAATATTTCTCTTATTATGCTATATCTTTTTATTAAATTTTAAACGGAAACCTACTTTTCCATTTTCATCGTTGTACATTAAATTATTATAAATTTATCCTTAATTTTTTTACCTTTTATGTTAGATTATATTAATTATATCCAAACTGGTACAACAGTAAAGGGCAGCGCTTTCTTGAGCTATTCGATCAATGTTTATCATTTGAAAAAAAAAAAAATAAATAAGCAGGAGAGTTCAGCATTACTAGTGTCTTCTCCTCATCCTTGTTTAAGAAATAAATGAAAATTCATCCGATTGTTCTATTAGTCATTGCGTAAGAAGATCAAATATAATTTTAAAATCAATTGAACTGTTATTTTTTTTCTTTAAGTGAAAACTTCTTTAGCCGCGTTTTGTACTTTTTTATGAAAAGTGAATTAGATTGAGCTATCAGATCTCCGATGTGTAACACTAACGAAAAAAAAACATAGAGCTGAAAATCCAATGGCTAACTATCCAAACGTTAAATGTAAAGGGGTTTGTTTACCATCTCATAGTTGCCATGGAAAAATATCAATGCTTAAAAACAAAAGCCTTAACCTGCAAGAGAGGTTTGAAAGAGTAATTCTGAGTTAATGCTAGTAAACTCTATCTTAGGATAAGTTTGAGGGTGAGTTAAATTCATACTCTGATTGTGTTTTTCTTTGATGGTAGTTTTGCTGTCATTATATATGTGTTGTTTATTTTGCGCAGGTACCTACCAGGGACAATGGCTGAGGGGGATGCGACACGGTTACGGAGTGCGGGCGAGCGCCCCGTTCGGCCAGGCCTCGCACTACCGGCCGGGGAAGGCGCTGCGTGCCTCGCTGACCAGCCTGCGGAGTGCCGAGGGCGGCACGGAGGCGGCAGACCGGGACCGCAGGGTCGACGACTCCAGGGGCGGCTTCGTCCTCAAAGCCCGCAGCGACGAAGCCCCCGTTCGGAGGCAGTCCCTTGTCGAGAAGTCATCCAACATCAAGAAGTCCATCCTGTCGGTAGGTACTTATACCATTTTTTCACTAAGCAATTCAAAACTTATCAAGTATAACATCTTCAATAAAAAAATATCTGGTAGGTCAATCTGAGTTTACAGATGATAAACTTGGTGCCTTCTTAAGTTAGTTGGCTCTTTCGATGTCTCAGATGCAAATCACCTAGTTCATAAGCGCTTGATAATAGTAAAATAATGCTATTGTTAAAATGTCTCCTCGAGCGTGCTCATTACAGCATATGATGAGCCTAAATAATAGAAAAAAAAAATGATAAATATAAAAAATATAAATGAAAGGAAAAGTTAAAATAATTGAATGAATAAAAATAACCTTTATTTATGTACTAATATCACAATTTCAAAAGCATACAAAACAAAATAAAACAATTTTTTTTTTACATCACAATTTATACAAAGCTTTTTACTATCTTGCATAGGCCTTCCCTAAGGAGTAATAGTCTTTAACACTTCTCCTGGGTGACTAGCCCTACTGGGAAGCGGGATTTCAGACCGTTAACCATTTTTCTTTCCACACATCCCTAACCCTAGAGATGTCCAGCCCATTTCCATTTGCCTTTTTGGTTTATTATTTTCAATAATGAAACATTGTGATCGACCAAAAAGTTCAAAAACATAACCCCCTCTCAAAACTTGAGGTTTCACGTTTCAAGATGCGTAGAATTCGAAAAACGAATACAAATTTTTTTGTCCGTCCGCCGTCCGCGCATTATCTCCGAAACTACTGGACCGATCAGATCCAATCAGAGGTCACCCGAGGATGATCCTCCTTCATCGACATTACTCTACGCCTTTAACTTTCAAAATGGCGGCCGAAAAACCTGCGTTGCTATAGACTGTAGTTCCTAAACGAATGTACAGATTTCAATAAAACTTCGCTAAAGTCATTTTCTCGACTCCCTTTAAATTTATCTATATAACATACTTCAACGAAAAGAAGCTGGAAAAAAAGTTACGAGGGATGGTAAAATTAAATTCCGAATAACTCGAAAAGTTTTTACTTTTTTGTTAATATTGTATATAGTTTTTTAAAAGTTTATGAAATTTCCTAAAAAAAAAAACTACTCCAAATGTTATATCCTTGATTTGGTTTTTAAATTTTAAATGTTTTACTGAGATAATGCTATTTTTTTTTGTAGCATATTACTAATGATTAAAGAAAAACAGTTTAGTCCAATAATTGGAAACACCTTTTGTTTTTTTTTCTTGGTAACTCGGAAGGTAATGTTACTTTAGATGTATAATTGTTTAGAGATAATAAGCCATTGTGAAATCATTTGCAGCGTTTTTTATTTGCGAGAGTGTGTCTTTGAGCCCTGTTTCTTCTTTTATCTTCTTGCATCTTGTTTTATCTATCTTTTTTACTTTCACAATGCTTCTTTCGATGCTACTTTGTCACACCATATTCTTCCTCTCTTGGGCTTTTGACAATGACCATATTTGGGAACCATAGGTCACCACTAGCATAATACATCTATTGAAAACTAGCCTTTTTAGGTCGATACTTATGTTTCCTTTTGTTGTATACTTCAGAGACAGAACTTGTTCCAACCAAATGCTATTCTTCCCTGGACTTCTTTTGTAACTCTGTCTGAAAAGAAAACTAACTGTACCAAGTAAACGTATTCCTCTACGTATTCCAGGGTGAAGTTGTTCATTTTTATTTCTTCCTTTGAACTATTGGTCATTAGTTTCGTCTTATTGTGGTTTGCCTATAAACCAATAAACCAATTTCTTCACAGGCCCCTAGAAGGTGTTTTAGCATTTCTCGTAGTTGTCGGGAATTGTTGGCAAAAAGTACAATGTCATCTGCAAAACGTAAGCTTAAAAATCGACCATTCACCTTAATTAAATACAACTAAATAATAAATAAATAGAAAAATACATAGAAAAACAAAAATGGATAAACGAAAATAATTAGGAAAAATGGAGAACATAGATGTTATATTTCCGTTATTAAATTACGACAATAAGAAATGGTATTATCGGATCTATTACTGTCGTTGCCCAAGGCTATTGATATATTTTTGATATCCCTATAATTAATTTACAACTGTAAAATGAGTAATAAGGAAAATATGGCCTATTGATTTTTATTCAATATCAGGTAGTCATGATCAGATTTTTGGTAAAGTCTGACAGGGCTTAAATTCCGTTTTTTTTTTTTTTTTTCTTTAAAGTAAATTCAATTTTTTTAATTTAAATAATTAATAGTTTCATATTGTAACTGGTTATTAGCAATGGTTAAATATAGACTATATCACTGTGGCATCGAGCGCCCTCCAGCAAAGCCGAGAGATCCCGAACGTAACACCTGCATTATAAGCTTTATCATTAATCCTAGCTCTATTAATAATTAATATTTAATTATATAGATTACGGCAGTATGTAAATTAAACTGTTTATGCATACTTATTCTTAAAAAAATAAAATACCTACGATGTCATATAAATAATTATATCTGTTTGCATTATCCACTACAAACCTAACTCCAGTCTCTAATTATTTAATTGAAAAACTAATTTCGGGACATTCTTTTAATTAAATAAAGAAGCAAATTATACAGTTGTACAAGGAAATGGCAGTGACAAAATCACATACATTTAAGACCAATGGGGAAAATATATAGTAATTAATTGTTTTAAAATGAATATGTAACATCTATAAATTTTATTTTCAATTCCCTATATTTGGTAATACTTAAGCTTGCTCAAATTAGGAATTAAGGGATGAAAGTTATATACTGCGAGCACCGGAGCAGAAATTTTATAGTATACTTCATAGTTTCTGTGGTTTACAGAAAATAAAATCATGTTCTATGATTATGCAGTCATTATTGTAATCAACATGGTATTGAAAAGTGGTAAATTGAATGGAAAATTTCTCGAAAACTGATGGTTGGTCGTAATCGGGGACCGAGAGAATAAATTCTGGTGTGTCATATAATAAATAATTTAATTTTTATTCAAAGCAAAGCGACCATGCTTTGATTAAGAAATAAATTCTGGCAATGTTGAGCTATTATAAAATTTTTGAAGTGTATTTTTGACTGAGCTAAATCTTAAACCTTAAATTGAACATGTAACAACAAATTAAGGCCATTAAAATGACACAATCTGTATCTATTACATCACCGTAAGCAATAAAAAACCTCGTAACTCCGTCTGTTTTTTGTACGCCGTATAACTCCAGTCTCTGAGCTATAAATGTCTATAGAGATTGAAAAATGCAACTGTATATTAAACCTATTAATGATTATGGATTTTTCCATTGTTGTAAAGTTTACTAAAAGGGATTAACGAGATTTTCATTACATACCATCGATAGGTCAAAAGTTGTCACACTAATTGTAAATTTAGTTTTTATTTATTTACATTCATTTAGTAAAATATATATATAGTTAGAAAATTATTTAATTTCCTTGGAAACATGTTGTTTCCATTTGTTATGTTATTTTTCAGAAATTATTATTTATAATTTTTTCCTCACGGTCCATTACCTTCTACGACATAGTACGTTAGATATTATTTTTTCCATAATTCTCAGCTTTGCTAAGGTATATTGTATGTATACCTTCTGCATATTATTCATGGAAATTCATTTTCAACCTTAATAAACATTTTTCCTTTTTTCTTCTACTCAATTATCAAATTCTTTCAAATGCTATATTTAACTTTTTTTTATCACAGCTAACAATAAGATGTAGTTAATGATAAAAATAAACCAAATTAAAGGCACTTTGGAAATAAAAATTTTGAACATGCGGCATTTAAGCCCTGTTGACCGACATCAATGTGGATAAGACAAACCTGATATTAAAGACCATTAATATTACACATCGATAAACCGAATTTAATCAAAATTGTTAGAGCTGTTTTTATAGGAAATCGTAAAAAACGTGGAAAATCGGTGATATAAAGTGGCATATTTCAGACATATGTACCATAAATGTATAATATCAGCTTCGTACGACTTTAATTTGTTCAGCTATGCTGTTCACTCACACACACACAAACCTGTGTCTGTATACAGACACTCACACACAGACCATTTTGCGGGACTAAGTCATTCGAACTCAAAAACAAAAAACTCAAATTTGAAAATTCGCAATACTTCACGTACGATATATTACATTTATAGGTAAGTAAAAGTAAAAATGAAACCTCGAAAAATCCATAATAGAGGAATCTCTTGCTAGTATCGAAAATAAAAACTGGCAAAGAGGTTCGTAGATTTTTATTCCTCATTATTGGTTTTTTTATGCGGTCAAAATGTCTATCTCAATAAAACTTGAGCGCTAACGTTTTGTTATGTCTTCTATCAACAGTGACATTTTTTAGAAGTATTCAATCGATCATAGTAGGTTACGTTAAATTGATAATATTTCATTTAAAATCATTAAATAAATGGAAGAATTGGAATAATAATAATTTTTTGTTACCAATGATTTCAAATTTATGGTACTACTTTGAGACACGATAAGGCTCATTTCAATTTTTTCATTTATCAAACTGAGCAAAATATACGAAAAGGTTTAATGGTAGATTTGAGTTGGCATTCTGCATGCCAGTGGCGATAGCAATAAAGACGGGAATAGCTAGGATCGCAAAAATATTACACGGTTAGAAGTCATATTCGTTCCCACTCTTACATACAATTTTTACAACCGTCGCATTGCAGTTCCAATATCGATGCTGAATGAGGTGGAATACAAAATGGGGAGTTATGAAGGTATGTATTTATGAAAAATGGCCAGCACGCTTCTCTTATCACTGCCTGGGTATCTTGTGAATTATCAGCTTTCTCAAAGAGAGTTAAAGATTTGCATTAGATTGTTTTTAAAACAATATTACTTCTTACCTTAACTAAGTTTACTCATATAAAATATTAATTTTAGAATGGACATATTGTGGTTCAATAGGTCATTATTCGCAATATCAGAATATCTTTTTTAATTTATTAATAATATGAATGTGTGTGTGTGTG